CATATGAGTGGCCCTCCTCTGAAGCCCCTTGAGGTTGTCTATATTCCTCTTGAAGTGCGGCGCCCAGAACTGGACCCAGTACTCCAAATGTGGCTTGACCAATGCCTTATAGAGGGGAAATATCACCTCCCTGGACCTGTTCATCATGCACCTGCTAATGCATGATAAAGTGTGGTTAACTTTACTGATCACTTTGTCACATTGATGACTCGTGTTCACCTTGGTGTCAGCAATGACTCCGAGATCCCTTTCTGCTGCTGTGCTACTGAGAAAGTCATCCCACAGCTTGTAAGCACACTGGTGATTCCTTTGCACTTTTCACTTATCTTTGTTAAACTGCATCCTATTCTGTTCTGCCCACTTTTCCAACCTGTCCAGATCTGCCTGGATTCATTCCCTACCCTCTAGTGTGTTAACTTTACCCTATAATTTGGTATCAGCTGTGAATTTGGACAAAGTGCTTTCCATGCCCTCATCCAAGTCACTGATGAAGACACTGAACAGCACATGTTGAAGGACTGAGCCTTGTGGGACTCCACTGCCCACATCTTTCCAGGATGATACCAACCCATCCACCACCACTCTCTGGATGCGACCCCTAAGCCAATTTGCCACCCATCTGACTGTGCAGTCATCCACGTCACAACCTCTCAGTTTATTTATGAGAATAGGATGAGATACCATATGAAAGGCCTTCTTAAAATCCAAGTAAATGACATCTACCTCAACTCCTGCACCTAAGCATTTTGTTATCTGGTCATAAAAAGAAACAAGGTTAGTCGGGCAGGGTCTACCTGCTGTGAATCCATGCTGGTTGCCCTTCAGCATTGTTTTTCCTGCTGGGCTCCCACAAATGTGATCCTTAATAATTTTTTCAAAGGTTTTCCCAAAGACAGAGGTGAGACGAACCACTCTGTAGTTACCCAGATCCTTCTTCCTCCCCTTCTTGAAAATAGGGACAACATTGGCCCTTTTCCAGTCCTCTGGGACCTGACCTGAGCACCAAGAATGCTCAAACAGCCATGCCAGTGGCTCTGCTATGACACTGGCCAATTCCTTCAGCACCCTTGGATGAAGATCATCCAGGCCTGTTTGACTTAAACACATCCAGTCCTTCCAAGTGCCCCTTCATGGAAGGGGATCCCAAGCTACACAGTTACAGTGCAGGGGACCACATGATGCAGCACAGGGGTTCCAGCACAGCTCAACTTTAATTGCTCTCCCTTTCAGCACATCACTGTACTCTGATGGTCCTGGGAGGAGGTATTAATTTACTCCAGCAGCAGTTCCATCCATCCTCCCCCATAGACACCAAAACCTAGTGCAAGGGATCACAATACATACAGTGGGTTAGCACCTCTTCTCACAGGCATGGATGACATTCCTCTCCCTTCCATTTGGCATCTTTTACCACTGGTGTACACTCTCTATGATTCCAAGCAGGCATGCCACTGCTGTGTTTTGTGTGCCCTAATATCTTGTTTCTTTGTGGGGGCATGTTTGGGGTCACCCAGTAACATCACCTTGAGCAAGAACACAGGACCTCTTATCCCCCTGTCAACTTTGTGAAGCAGGTAGTCTGTGTGGAGAGGAAGTGGAGGAAGGATGGGGGATTGGTATGGTAAGGTACTGGGATGGTCACCATGTAGGAGCACTGATACTTACCAGAGGTTGTCTCTCCTGTGGCTTCAGTTAGTAAGAGGTGGGCAATTATTTCAGGCAGAGGGCTACTTACCAAGTTTTGGCACGCCGTTGAGGGCTGCATGGGTAGCCCCACCCCTTGACAGGTGCTCCGACCCCTGGTTGCCATCTTGTGATCTGAAGTCCTGTCCCCTAACCCCTGAGCTTTGCCACCAGAAGTCCCTCCCCTTCCCCGAGAAATACTTCTTTCAGCAAGGTGTTTTGCCATCTCAGAACCAGAAAAATACCAAATTGTATTCTAAAAAGCAAACATCTACAGCATTCGTTAATTTGATTTTAAAAAATATTTTTGTCCTGATTGACATGTGTTTATATAGTGTACACAGAGGTGATTGCACAATAGCTTATAATGCAGTCTTACTCTTGTATATTGTGAGGGGTGAATATAGGTGTGTGGGGGGCTGTGGCTGTGTAGGTATGTGGGGAAGGGTGGGTCTGGGGTTTGTGGGGGCTATGTGTGGGGGAGGGTGGCTGGGGCATGTGAGGAGGTGTGGGGGTCTGTGTGTATGGCAGAGCAAGGGGGGTGTGGGTGCATGTGGGACTCACCTTATGGACGGACGGACGGTCGGACACACACTCTCTCACTCTCACTCTCTCTCTCTCTCCCTCCCTCTGCCCCTGCGCTCACACACATACGTACCTGCGTGGCCCCATGCTCCCCAGTCCAGCAATGCAGCCAGGAGCCACCTGGTGCCAGAGCAATGGGGGCAGGAAGAGAGTGAAATTTACTGATTTTTTTAGGGGCCTCATGGGCCAGACAGAATGGCCTCATGGGCCGGATCCAGCCCATGGGCCATAGTTTGCCCACCCCTGAGTTAATTTGATCCTGGGCATTGTGTAAGGAAGAGGATTAGTTTGTTGCATGTGGTAGTTTGGTTAGGCTACAGTAAGGCAGAAAAGGACCTGTGAATTACTATGACCCATAAACTGAATGAGCCAACAGCGTGCTTTTGTTACAGAAACATTCCCATTACATTCAGGAGAATTCAAGAGAAGTGATTC